TCTTTCCTGTTCCTCTGATGCTGCCTGGCCTGCTGTGTTCCTCCAGCTCCACACTGTGTTATCTCTGGCTCCAGCATCTGCAGTTCTTACTAACTTGGCGATTTAATAAATCTTGTTTAAAGCTGGAATAGAACTTCCTTGAATGCCACGATTTTATAACGAATTTTGTCGGTGGCTGCAGTAAAAAAACAAATAAAAATGAGACAAGTGACTACTTCTCTACTTCTAACTGGATTTATTTGCTTTCTTTTCTTCTTACTTCCAAATGAAACAGATGAGAAAAGCAAAGGTATCTGTGCCCAAAAAAGACCTTGCATGCTTGTTGCTGAGTGGAATGCGCATTGTGTTCTGGTGGTGTCTGGCAGAGTCCATGCTTCAACTCATGTATATTCATGCAATTCAGCAGCAAGAAACAATATTGGAATCTGCCTCTTACTGGACTTTAGGTTAGTGACAAATATCACACTTCATAATGGCAGGTACAAATGATCTTGTATTGGAGAATATATTAGGAGTTTATAGGATTGTAAGATTGGACAACAGTTCTGTGCTTTCACATGAGTCCCATAAAACATAGGTGCAGAAGTAGGTCATTCAGCCCATCGAGTCTGCTCTGCCATGGATGATCAGGCAGTCCTCAGCTTCCTTTCCATATAACCCTGGAATCCCTTAATGATTAAAATCTGCCTATCTCAACCTTGAATAGACACACTGACCCAGACTTTACAGCCCACTGTGTAAAGATTTCCACAGATTCCAACTTAAAAGGGTGTTGCCTTATTCTGAGATAATGCCCTCTCGTTCTAGACTTTCACATAAGGCGAAACAACCTCTCAGTAGCTATGCTGTCAAATCCCCTAAGAAGCTTGTATGTTTCAATAAAGTCACCTCTCATTCTTCTTGATTCCAATGAGGGCAACCTACTCAACTTCCCCTCATAAGATGTTCCCACCATACCTGGGATCAACCTAGTGAACCTCCTTTGCACTGCCTTCAATGCCATTATATCTTTCCTTAGTTAAGGGGCTCAAAACTGTTCACTGTTACGACTGCTGCCCATATAGTTTTGGCGTTACTTCCCTAATTTTATACTCCATTCCCTAAGGGCCAATGTTCCATTTGCCTTCTTTATTACTGGCTGAACTTGTACATGAACATGTTGTGTCTTTAGCATGAGGAGTCTTTGATTCCTCTGTGCTGTAGCTTTCTACAGTCCTAAGGTTGTAGACATGGTCACCGAGTCGGTGGGTTTGATTGCAAACGTTTCGTCACCCTGCTAGGTAACATCATCAGTGTACCTCTAGTGAAGTGTTGGTGTTCTGTCCAGCTTGCTATCGGTTGGCGGGGGTGATTGGTATCATTTCCTGTTCTGTTTCTCAGTGGTTTGTATACAGGGTCTAATTCAGTGTTGGAATACCAGGCCTCCAGGAATTCCCTGGCGTGTCTCTGTTTGGCTTGTGCAATTATTGATGTGTTGTCCCAGTCGAATTCATGTCCCTCGTCCGTGTGTAGTGAGACAAGTGAAAATTGGTCGTGTCTCTTGGTGGCTGGTTGGTGTTTGTGTATTCATATAGTCAATTTTCTTCTGGTTTGGCCTATGTAGTGTTTCTCACAGTCCTTGCATGGTATTTTGTATATTACCCCAGTTTTGCCAGTTTTGGGTATGGGGTCCTTTATGTTCGTCAGTAGCTCTTGTAGGTTGTCGGGTTGTGGGCTACTCTAATACCTAGGGGTCTGAGTAGTCTTGTGGTCATCTCTGAAATGACCTTGATGTATAGTAGGGTGATAAGTGATTCTGGTCATGGTATGTCTTCCTGCTGTGGTGTGTCTCGGAGGTAACAGCGGATTGTGCTTTTTGGGTGTCCATTTCTTTTGAAAACTTCGTATAAGTGTTCCTGTTCTGCTTTGCGTAGTTCCGGGTTGCTGCAATGTATTGTGGCTCATTTAAATAGTGTCCTGATGCAGCTCCATTTGCGGGCATTGGGGTGGTTGCTACTGTAATTGAGTATTTGGTCTATATGTGTGGTCTTTCTATATACGCTGGTCTGGAGTTCCCCTTGTTTCTACGTTCTACCATTACGTCCAGGAAGGGTAGTCGGTTGTTCTCTTCCTGTTTCGTGAATTTTATCCTGGTAAGGATGTTGTTTATGTGTCCATATGTAATATATGTTGTAAATAATTGTGGACCGAGTACTGAGCCACATTCCACTCCACCAGCTGTCATCCTGAAAATACCCTCCTGATCACGACTCTTTGTCTTCTGTAAGTCAATTATCTATCCAAGCCCATATACTGCCTCCGATTCCATGGGTTCTTATTATTAGGTAGCCTAAATTGTTGTACCTTCTGAAGCACCTTCTGAAAATCCAAATATACTAACATGCTCTGCTTCTACTTTATCCGTTTTGTTTATTACCTCCTCAAAGAATTCTAATAAATTTGATCTGTGTCATTGAGTCCCTTACAGGTACTTAAACCCGTACTTCCACTCAATTCTTAATTAGTCCAAAAATTCTGTAAGTCAACCTGGTACATTGGCAATTAGTTGAGAGTTCATACAGTTTAGGCAATGGACTGAAGTGTCTGAAATCAGCAGCGCTCTGTCACTGATTCAGTTCGAATCAGCTTGCATACCTCATTGCCTTCCTCTTTCTCTAAGGTCATATATCTTCTGTATGGTGCTCAAATATTACATGAGCCTGACTGAGAGCTGACATAAATTTTTATAATTGTTCTTTTCCATTGGTATGACAATACCATAGAACAAAGATAACCTGTTTGTTTTGAATTGAATCTGTAACTTGTTTGGAATTGAAGGTTTCTACAGTTTAAGTTGATGAAAGAAAGAACTTGCATTCATATAGTATTTGTCACAAACTCACGATATTCAAAAGTACTTTACAACCATTTACGTACTTTATGATATATATTTGCTGCGGTTATATAGGGAAAATTGGAAACCAGTATGCACACAGCAAAACCCTCTGAACATCAGTGAGTTAAATGGAGAATCAAGATGTAGTGTTGCTGGTTGAGTGATAATTATTGGCTTTGACGCATAAGAATTATACAGGTTATTAATATGGTCTGTTTTACAGATATATTATAGCTTAATGGTCATAAACAGTGAGCAGAATCACAACAATGATCTTGTTTCTCAAATGAAAATTCACTTCTTTTCATGAGGGAACCATTATTCACCCGACGTTCCCATATCCTGTAACTTTCTCTTACCTTTATGCCCCTCTTATCCCATCACCTCATACATTCCAGCTGCCCAAATTTTTTTACCCACTTCCTTCATCACCCCCCACTTTAAGTTTCTTTACCCTGCCCTGCAAGGACATTAACTAGTGTATAATTAAATTTGGTATGTATTGTCATTTTCTGTTGAAAGTTATAAGTAATTATTTTCTTAAATTGTATGTGACCCTGGCATAGTAAGACTTAGAGTCATAGAGTTGTATAGCAAGGAAACGACCTCTCGGTGCAACTTGTCCATGCTGATCAGATATCCTAAACTGACCTAGTTCCATTTGCCAACATTTAGACCATATCCTTTTAAACCCTTCTTATTCATGTACCTATCCAGATGCCTTAGGAATATTGTAATTGTACCAGCCTTCACCATTTCCAGTGGCAGCTCGCTCCATACATGCACCACTCTCTATGTGAAAACGCTGCCCCTGAGATCCCTTTTAAATTTTTCCCCTCTCACCTTCAACCTATGTCCTCTCGTTTTGGACTCTCCTACCCTGGACAAAAGACCTTGGCTATTCACCCTATCAATGCCCCTCATGACTTTATAAACCTCTATAAGGCCACCCCTCAGCCTCCGATGCTCCAGGGAAAATAGCCCCAGCCTGTTCAGCCTTTCGCTGTAGCTCAAACCCTCCAACCCTGGCAACATTCTTGTAAATCTTTTCTGAACTCTTTCAAGTTTAGCAACATCTTTCCTATATCAGGGAGATGAGAATTGAATGCAGTATTCCAAAAGTGGCCTAACCAATATCCTACACAGCTGCAACATGACCTCCCAACTCCTATAGTCAATACACTGACCAATAAAGGCAAGTGTACCAAACGTTGTCTTCACTACCCTGTCTACCTGTGACTCCACTTTCAAGGAACTATGAACCTACACCTCAAGGTCTCTCTTTTCGGCAACATTCCCCAGGACCTTACCATTAAGTGTGTAAGTCCTGCCCTGGTTTACCAAAATGCAACACCTCACATTTACCTAAATTAAACTCCATCTGCCATTCCTTGGCACATCGGCCTATCTGATCAAGGCCCCATTGTGCTCTGAGATAACCTTCTTCATGTCCACTACACCAACTATTTTGGTGTCATCTGCTAACTTCCTAACCATTCCTCCAATATTCACATTCAAATCACTTTTCAGTGTCTTGCTGCATATTCTGATGGAATACAGCTGTAGAGCAGAGAGTTCCAACAATAACACTTTACATTTGTATGGTGCCTGAAACAACTGCGACAGTGGGTCTTGAGTCAAAAATGGAGATGAAAAAAAAAGTGGCGAAACCTGTATTTTTATTTTGAACTAAATTTGACAGGGAAAACAAAGTAATGGATTTATTCAATGGTTTTTTGTACCTACAGCTGCAGCACATTAAGTGTATAGTTCAATTATTTGTGCATCTGTGATATATGAGGGTTTGTAGGGATAAAGAAAACCACTATAGTTATGTTTCAGTGAGGGAAGGAAGAATTGTGTGCTTTTAACCTACAGTTGCAGCTGGAGGAGATTGTGGTTGCGGGAGGAGGATTGGGTATGAGGTTACTGTCATATTTGATGAATTCAGCCTTGCAGTTAACCATAGCCTCTGGATTGATTGCTGCTGTGGTGGTGATCACCATCTCCATTCTCGATGTGAAGGCATACAGCTGTGCCCACCTCTTGACTCTTAGTTGCTGTTGTGACTGGTTCTGCACCAATTTTTCCTGCAAGAGAGAAGATAGCATGTCAGTGAGTGTGATGCAGCATGTTTGGGTGATATGGCTGCCGTAATGTAAGTTGTGAGATGTGGATATGAGGCTTGCAGCACTGCTAAGTTTGAGAGGGTGAAGTGGAGCTATGAATTTTAGGTAAAATCATGACTTATACAGGTGAATGATGGTACACTGAGCAGTATGTGAAAGTAGTGACATATTTCGTGAGATATAGCATTTGAAAATACACTTGAAGATAGCTCTTCCTGCTCCAGATATGTGTCATAAAATGGCTGAATAGGTTGATCAGATGCTCCCAGTACTGAGATGGGCCTCCCCGGCCATGTCATCGGGTCCTGCCGCAAATCTCACCACAGCCCTTGTCATTCAGGCCCCTATAATATTTTGACCATGGTATTATCCACATATTATTTCAGAGTTGTGGAATTATGTTTGGGGGTTACGAAAGATTGGACTGAGGTTTAGATTAACATGTATATCCTGGAGTATTTGTGTATCCACCATGCTATTTGTAAAATGAGCCTGACTATATAGTCATCTAAATGGTAATGAAATCTAGACCAATCAAGTTTCAAAATACAGTATTGCATCTAACAATATCAGAAGAAAAGTCCTAACTTTGAAGGTTAGTAATAAGTTTAAAAATCAAAACTTTGGTGAATGAAAGATCCCTATTTGAGAAAAGCAATCTAACTTAAATTGAACTCAGTAGTTTTTCTTTAAAAGAGGGGGTGCACAGTACCAGTATTTTTCTAATATTTTAAACTATAATAACTAAGGTTCACTTTAATGCAGTTTTGTCACTTCTGAGTAAAGTGCTGTGCTGTGTTGGATGCTAGTTGTGTTGAATGTGACAACTGAAGAGAAACTGCTCTAAAGTTTAAAAACTGAATGTGAACTGAAATTTGCAATATCCTGACCAATAGGTGCAATATACTCACTACCTGCAAGGAAATGGAGAAAGTCTGCAGGGGAAAAACCACAATGCAAACTAACATACTGTGGTTCGGAAGACTGTGCAAGATGGGAAAGAGCAGAATAGGAATATGTGTAAATAGGGACTCTAATTAGGGGGAACCTGAGTAATGATGCTTCGTTGCCTACCTCGTGCCAGAGCAAGGTATATTTCAGGGCAGTTGGAGAGGAACCTGGAAAGAGAGGGTGATAATTGAGTTAACATTGTACATGTTGGATTTAAAACCCTAGGTTTGAACAGGCAAGTGGTCCTGCTGAAAGAGTAGCAAGAGTAAGACTTTAATTTAAAAGCAAGACATTGGAGGTAATTATCTCCAGATTATTTCAAAGGCCTATACAAATTGGCACAAGAGAGATGGACCAGGATATATATAGCTAAGTGGTTGGTGTGGGGAGCAGGGGTTTCTTATTATTGAGATATTGGCTCCCATTCTAGGACAAGAAAGAATGATACCAATGTGGCATGCTGCAGAAAGGATCAATACGAGGTGGTAAAGGCTTTAAAATAGTGAGGGATATTTTCTTGGGGGTAATATTTACAGAACAGGGCAGGAGGACATAGGAAAAAATAGGACAGAATATTGATGATAAGGCAATAAATAGAGTTATAGGACAAGAATTTTAAAAAGTTGATTAAACATAAAGAGGGCACTATTAAAAATGAGTTAATATCTGTACAGCAATACACACAGTGTCTAATAAAACAGAGAAGTTGGAGACAATCAAGCACCGGGAGTAATGGGTATTATGGAGATATGGCTAAGAAAAGTCAGGACTGAGAACTAAACATTGTAGGGTATAATATATAAGAGATGAAAAGATAAAGGGAGAAATTGGAGAGGTGAAGTAGCTGTACTTATTTGGGCTAACATAATGACAGTAGAAGAAAGGACTGTCAGCAAGATTAAAATTAAATCCAAATAGATGGGGATGAAAGATGATAAAATATCTGTCATACTACAGATGTAATCCACAGAACACCTAATAGTGGAAGGGAAATGGAGGAAGAAACATACAAATGTTCCTCAGAATTGAGTAAAATAAATATAAGAATAATCATGGTGGATTTCAAAACCCTGATGTACATTGGACAGAAACAGTATATAAAGGAGATCAGGAATTGAGTTCCTGTGGTGTTTACAGGACTTTTAATAAAATATGTAAAAACGCAACAGCTAAGGATTCACCACTGGATTTGGCAATATGAATGAACCAGAGCAGCAAGTTAAGTAAAAGCCAGGGAATATCTAGGCAACAATGTCCATAATATTTATGTTGTTTCAGATGTAAGTATAACAATTAAACAAATTAATAGATTGGAGAAAAGGTGATTTTCAGTGCCTGAGAATGAAACTTGCATGAAACAAAATAGGCAAAATATGTTGGCAAACAGTGATGTGGAACAACAATGGGGAACACTTTAAAAAAAGTGTTCAACAAGAGTGCAGCAAAAATGTTCCACTAAAAGGTAAGAGCAAATTAAACACATGAGGCTCCATGAATGAATAAAGACATAAGGAGACAGTTGAGAGTTAGGTAAGAGGCGTGCAATAATTATACACAACCTGCAGAGGAATGCATGATTGGAAAAGGATAAAAGAGATTAGGCGAGAAGTCAAATGTACAATTGGGAAGGCAAAGAGGAACCATGCAATTAAAGTTTCTAGGAACTTAAGTGAAAATAGTAAGATATTTTACAGACAAGTCAATAAAAAGGGAAGATTGTGATGAGAATTAAGAGATAATACCACAGCAAATGATGGAGAGTTGGCAGAAATGTTAAGTTGGTATTTTGTTTTGTTATTTGCCAGGGAGATAGCAAATGTACGGATGAAACTGAATGATAAGTTGAACAATGAGATAAGCACAAACGCAATGCATAAATAAATAGTTTTGTACCAATGTGTCTGATCAGAGAAAATTCCAGGCTTACACACATTTATGGTAGAGAAATAGGCAAGTTGGCCCAGCTAGTCCAATCTAATGTTTAAGCTTTGCTTGAAGAATATCTATTCTATTTGCTTCCCACTCCATGTGGTAGTGAATCCTACATTATTACAACTCTTTCGATAAATAAGCTTCTTTTCAATTTTCTAATATATTTATTGTTGATTTACATTGATGATCTAAAAATTTGCTTTCCTCCCTTCCTCCCTTCCCCCCCATAAGTGAAAAGGTTGTTTTTATATTCATTCTGTCAAAACCTTTCATTATTTTTAAATACATTTATAATGTCACTCGTCAGTTTTTCTTTTTTAATAGAATGGATACCCAGCCTGTCGATCTTTTCCAAATATATGTATATACCACCCATGTCTCATATCATCTTTATAATCTTCTCTGCATCTTCTCCAGCCCTGCTATATCATTTTTGCAATGTGGAAATCTGAACTGCACGCAGTACTCAAATTGGGGCTGAAATAAGGTTTGATAAGAGTTTAACATAACTTTCCTACTTTTTAATTGTAGACAACTGCTTGGTTTGCTTTTTGTTATAGCCGTGTGAACCTATGGCAGAACTTTGTAGGGATGTATTTATTTCTTCTCCAAGAATCCTTTGTTTCTTTATCCCACCTTCCATTTAAATGATCTTCTATTCTTTGTGCTAAAGCATACATGTATTTGTTGAGGTTGTACACGTATTTGTGTTGAACTTCATTTAACAATTATTTGTTTCCTTTGTAATTTGTTGCAGTCGTCTTCAGTGTTGATTTGGTGGTCATCTCAAAAGGTAGAAGTTGTGTCCAAATCATTAAAACAAATCAGGAACAGTCCATTCCCAACAGTAGTCAATGTGGAACATCACTTCCCACAGTTTGCTGCTCTGAATAACTACTCTGTACTCCCAAGTTTTATTGATCATAACTATCTTTCGGTATGTTACGTGTAATTTATGAAGAGAGTGGTTTGAGACCATGTCTCCTCCATGTTTAGCAGATCAGGTTGCCTCATGCAAAGATATTATTATTGTATACATACCACAAGGGGGCACTATTATTACATCCCTTGGTTAAACTATTATACGGGGAGATTTTGGGAAGTGAACAGTTCCAATATAGATTATCATTTCTTTCTGTCCTAGGTGGCCTTGGTTTTGCTCATGCATTATTTTTCTATATGAAATACCTGCTGTTTTACGGCATTCCATCAATTATCATGAGCTTGGATGGAATTGAACCACCAAGATTGCCACGGTGTACCAGTAGTTTGTACAGTTTTACAGGAACATGGAGGTAAGTTGTACAGTTTGTATTTTGAAATTCAAGGTTAAGAACAGAATGAGATCTTGCAGATGCAGTTGTACTGGTTTCTGTCTCATTTACTTCAATGTGATTATTATTTCCTCAGTATGTTTTGGCTCAAGAAACTTTTTACAAGCTCATTTTGCAAGTTTCTTCTGAAGTAGAATCGCATTGGACTCGACTTTGTTTTTCTCTCTCCCAAAATGTTGCCAGACCTGTTGGGTTTGAGAATATTTCAGAGGGTTCAATAGCAGTGGCGCTGTGGCTAAAATAAAGGAGTAAGGATGCTCAGAGTAAAATTCAGACCATCTGTTAGTGGGTAGGAGGCAGAGGAACAAATCTGAAGGAAATTACAGAGAGGAGTAAGCATCGCAGTGTACTCGTAAGAGGGATTTTCTTTACCTGTATATTAACAGGGATAATGGTCATGTTAAAGGGTGGTGAGGGACAAGCATTCATAGATTATATTTAGGAAAATTTCCTACTGTAGAATGTGTCCAATCCAAAAAGAAAGGAGACAAATCAAAACCTTGTTCTTAGGAATTAGGTGGATTAGGTAGATCAGGTATCAGTGAGGAAACATTTGGTTGGCAGTGATCATTTTATCATAAGGTTTAGGATGATGATGGAAAGTGACATTTGTCAATCCAGAGTTAGAATAATCAAAAAGAGGAGAGCAGACTTCAATCGCCCAAGGACTGAATTGGGCTGGTTAGACCTGAACCAAAAGTTGGTGGGTAAACAGTAGCTGAATAATGGGCTGTCTTCTAAAAGGAAATGGTTTAGACATATACAAGATCTATTCCCTCAAAAGGGAAATTTAGGACAAACAAATCTAGAGCTCCCTGATTGACAAAGAAGTTAGAAATTAAGAAAATAATGTGCTTATGACGGGTGTCATAAAGCAAATAAGAAACAAAGAGGAATTATGAACACAAACTGGCAGCTAACATTAAAGGAAATCCTCTGTAAGCACATCATAGTAAAAGATGGTGAAAGGAGCAGTGGGGCAGATTAGAGACTGAAAAGGAGTTTTACAGGAGGTTGGAGAAATGGCTGAGGTGCTGAATGAAAGCTTTACATTTACAGAGGCTGTCCAGGTGATGGTGATAGAGGAAGAAACCCAGTCATGAGAAGAGTTTAAAATTGAGCAACAGTCTTGTGAGGAAAGGTATAGATCGTGGACAGTCTAGAACTTCAAAAGGCATTGCCACATTGTTCGATTGGACAGATCGTAGCAGATGGAGCTCAGTGCAAAAAATTGTGAGGTAATGTATTTTGCTACAAAGAACTTGGGGAGACAGTATGAAATAAAGGGTGTATTCTAAAGGGTATGGAGGAGTAGAGAGACCTGGGTGTGTATGTACATAAGTTATTAAAGATGGCAGGACAGGTTAATAAAACATGCAGCATTCTTGTTTCATAAATAGGGGCATTTGGAATAAGAGCAGGGAGATTATAATGGGCTTATATAAGACACTGGTTAGACCTCAGCTGGAGTATTGTGCACAGTTCAGGACCCCACACTATAGGAAGGATGTGAATACATTGAATAAAGAATAGAGCAAGTTTGCAATAATGGTTCCAGAAACAAGACACTTCAGTTATCAGGAAAGATTGGAGAAGTTGGGACTATTTTCCTTGCAGAGAAGAGAGCTGAGAAGAAATTAAATAGAAGTTTTCAAAACCATGATAAGTAGGGTGAAACTGTTCCCACTCATAAGCAGATCAAGAACTGGGGGCGCAGTTTTAAAGTGCTTTGCAAAAGAAGCAAATGCGAGGTGAGAAAAGAAACTCTATCCCGTTGTGAGTAATTAGGGTATAGAATGTAGTCCCTGGAAGTGTGATGGAGAGAGTTCAACTGAGGCATTCGAGAGGGATTAGATGATTGTTTCTATTTAAATAATGCGCAGAGCTACAGGGAAAAGGTAGGTGAATGGTGCTGAGATAACATGATGAAGAGCCCACGCAGGCACAATGGGCCAAATGAGTCTGCAACTGCACTGTTTAAAAAAAACTGTGATTCTTAGTTTGTTTAGAAAATAAAACAATCCAATGAAGGTTAAAAAAAAAACCTACTGATCAATATTTAGGTGTTGTCGAGGAGTAGGTGCAAGGCAAATAAGAGCTAAAATACTACTATGCACTGGGTTGTTGTGTATTATTAGTATATAGTCTGTAAATGTTGTGCTTTCATAGACATGGTAATTGTACTAAATCAATTTAAGGCACTTTTTAAAAAAAAAAGTCTTGCATATGTGAAAAATCTGAGTAAAAATGGAAAACACTTAAAAACACAGTTGGCCCAACAAGCATTTGTAAAGAGGCTTTTCAGATATATGTTCTGGTCTTGAAGCAGAAGCTCAGTGTACATGAGAATAAAATCAAAGCTTTTGATTATAATTTTTAAATTTACAAGTGCTGGCTACAGTATAACTGAAAATGTTTTTGACAAAACAGGTTTTGAGTAATTTAACATCTAGCTACTCAAATATAATGGTTGGACATTTTTCAGCTGTTAAAGAACTCCAGCAAGTTTTTAAAATAGCAAGGAATATTCTGAGCAGAAATATGTAAAAAATATACACTCTAAAACATTTCCCCATTGCAGAGATTCATGGCAGATTTCTTTTTGTAATGATTCAGAAATAAGTTCAAGGATTGGCCCCAAGGGTGGATGGATGTTGCTGCTGGGAACCCATAAGAACATAAGAACTAGGAGCAGGAGTAGACCATCTGGCCTCTCAAGCCTGCCCCGCCATTTAATAAGATCATGGCTGATCTTTGAGACCCAGCTCCACTTACCTGCCCACTCACCATAACCCTTAATTCCTTTACTGTTCAAAAATTTATCTAGCCTTGCCTTAAAAACATTCAGTGAGGTAGCTTCAACCACTTCATTGGGCAGGAAATTCCACAGATTCACAACCCTTTGGGTGAAGAAGTTCCTCCTGACCACAGTCCTACATCTGCTTCCCTTTATTTTGAGGCGATGCCCTCTAGTCCTAGTTTCACCTGCCAGCGGAAACAACCTCCCTGCCTCCACCTTATCTATTCCCTTCATAATATTATATGTTTCTATAAGATCTCCACTCATTCTTCTGAATTCCAATGAGTATAATCCCAGCCTACTCAGCCTCTCCTCATAATCCAACCCTCTCAACTCTGGAATCAACCGAGTGAACCTCCTCTGCACCCCCTCCAGTGCTAGTATATCTCTTCTCAAGTAAGGAGACCAAAACTGCACACAGTACTCCAGGTGTGGCCTCACCAGGACCCTATACAGCTGCAGCATAGCCTCCCTGTTTTTAAACTCCATCCCTCGAGCAATGACAGACAAAATTCCATTTGCCTTTTTAATTACCTGCTGCACCTGCAATCCCAACTTCAGCGATTTATGCACAAGGACACCCAAGTCCCTCTGCACAGCAGCGTGCTGCAATTTTTTACCATTTAAAACATAGTCCATTTTGCTGTTATTCCTACCAGAATGGATGACCTTACACTTATCAACATTGTACTCCATCTGCCAGAGCTTTGCCCACTCACTTAGACTATCTATATCCCTCTGCAGACTTTCAGTGTCTTCTGCACACTTTGCTCTACCACTCACCTTAGTGTCATCTGCAAGTTTTGACACACCACACTTAGTCCCCAACTCCAAATCATCTATGTAAATTATAAACAATTGAGGTCCCAATGCTGATCCCTGAGGCACACCACTAGCCACTGACCGCCAGCCAGAAAACCACCCATTTACCCCTACTCTTTGCTTTCTACTGGTCAACCAATCCTCTATCCATGCCAATACATTACCTGTAATACCATGCAACTTTATCTTATGTAAAAGCCTTTGGTGTGGCACCTTGTCAAATGCCTTCTGGAAATCCAGATACACCACATCCACAGGTTCCCCATTGTCCACCATGCAAGTAATGTCCTCAAAGAATTCCACCAAATTAGTTAAACATGACCTATCCTTCATGAACCCATGCTGGGTGTTCCCAATGGGACAATTTATCTCCAGATGTCTTGCTATTTCTTCCTTAATGATAGATTCAAGCATTTTCCCCACTACCGAAGTTAAGCTAACTGGCCTACAGTTACCTGCTTTTTGTCTACTTCCTTTTTTAAACAGTGGCGTCACATTGGCTGTTTTCCAATCTGCGGGAACCACCCCAGAGTCCAGTGAATTTTGGTAAATAATTACTAGTGCATTTGCTCTTTCCCCCATCACCTCTTTTAGTACTCTGGGATGCATTTCATCAGGGCCAGGAGACTTGTCTACTTTAGCCCCATTAGCTTGCCCAGCACTGCCTCCTTAGTGATAATGATAGTTTCTAAGTCCTCACCTGCTATAACCTTCTTGCTATTAGTTTTCGGCATGTTATTTGTGTCTTCCACTGTGAAGACCGACACGAAATAACTGTTTAATGTCTCGGCTATTTCCTCATTCCCAGTTATGAAATTGGCCTTCTCATCCTCTAAAGGACCAATGTTTACCTTCGCCACTCTTTTACGATTTACATATTTATAGAAACTTTTGCTGCCTGTTTTTATATTCTGAGCTAGTTTACTCTCATAATCTATCTTACTTTTCTTTATAACTTTTTTTGTGGCTTTCTGTTGGCCTTTAAAGATTTCCCAGTCTACTAGTTTCCCACTACTCTTTGCTTTTTTGTATGTTTTTTTTTTCAATCTGATACTTTCCTTTATTTCCTTAGACATCCATGGCTGGCTCTCTCTTTTCCTACAGTTCTTCCTTATCACTGGAATATACTTCTGCTGAGCACTGTGAAAAATTGATTTGAAAGTCATCCACTGTTCCTCAATTGACCCACCATAAAGTTTTTGCTCCCATTCTACCTTAGTTAACTCCTTCCTCATTCCTTCATAGTCTCCTTTGTTTAAGCACAGGACATAGGTACTGGATTTAACCTTCTCACGCTCCATCTGTATTTTAAATTCGACCATACTGTGATCGCCCCTTC